TTTTTTCTCTCTCTTTCAGAATATATAACATTATATCCATTTACCCAGTACTTCTTGGCACACAGAGCAACACACCAGATGTGTGCTTAATTCATTTATGAGAGAATAAATAAGAGCAAAGGAAACCCTTATTTGGTCCATCACTGTGGGGAATTTTAGATCTGTCAGTATAGTAAATACCAAGAGAGAAAAAATAAATCTCCCAACCAAAGTTGACTCCATTCCCTTCCTTTGCTTTTGAAAATTTTAATGGATAGACTACAGTTTTCCTAGGACACCCTTTCAGAACCAGCTATTTCTCCCATTTGGTGGCTGTATAATGTTTCAAGTTTTCTTAGACCCTACCAGACTTTTATTTGCCTTCCCACCAGCTGAGGTAAGCTCCCCCTCCCCTCCTCCATGACCCATGACATATCTAAATTTTTGTCCATCATTCAAATATTTGCATGAACAAAATTATATATCCAGTGGAGAATATTTTCTTAAGCCTCACACTGAACTTACGAAGGTATGTATATTTCAGAAAGTTATCCATATATTTTCAAACATGATGCTGGTTTTACCTGTTTTACCTGATAAAGTAGGATAATCTCCCCCCCAAAATTTTATATACTCAGTTAATCTCTATCCATCTTTGTCAGCAAATTCTTCCAGTAGTTTGAATAGCAAAGAAATTCAATGAGATTGTAACCAAAGTGATATAGGAGGAGCAAAGGAAATGTGTTACTTAAAATGAATTGCTTAAAATGGAGGCTTTGCATTTTGAAAATTACTAATTTCTGAACAAGTCAAGTGGAGTTGTCTACATGGAACATATAATACATATAACTGACGTTTGTGGTAGGAATATCAGTTTTAAGTACTTATCTTATTTATGGAAATAGAGTATTCAATTCTTTATGTGTTAGTTTGCTTGTCTTTTTACCTGTCTTTATGCCTGTATATTGTCAGTTTTAGATGGTAGTTTTCTAGAGGGTAAGATAGAATATGATTAAAATTTGCAGAACAACATATCATATATATATGATACATATGATTCGAGGAGGAGGAGGATGTGATGGTTGGTTTTATGTCATAAACTTTTCATTAAAAGGGAAATACAAACCATTTTAAAAGTAAAAAATAACCAGGTGCTTGAATGCCTCAGTCTTTAAGCATCTGATTTCGGCTTAGGTCATGATCTCACAGTTTGTGAGTTCGAGTCCCATATCAGGTGAGCTGAAGCCCCCTTTCAGGTAAAAACATGAGCCTCAGGCCAGTCCCACTTCTCTCTGTCTCTCTCTCTCTCTCTCTCTCTCTCTCTCTCTCTGTCTCTCTGTCTCTCTCTCTCTGTCTCTCTCTCTCATTCTCTCTCTGCCCCTGCCTCACTTGTGCCCTCTTTCTCTCTGAAAAAAGGAAGTAAAAATGTAAAAAATAACCTAGCCATAGCAAAAAGCTAATGAACTCTAAAATGCAAAGATAGATGGCACCTGGGTGGCTCAGTTGGTTAAGCTTCCAACTTCGGCACAGACCATGATCTCACAGTTCCTGGGTCAGGTCCCTGTGTCAAGCTCTGTGCTGACAGCTCAGAGTCAGAGCCTGGAGCCTGCTTCAGATTCTGTGTCTCCCTTTCTCTCTGCCCCTTCTCCACTCATGCTCTGTCTCTCTCTGTCTCTCAAAAATAAATAAATAAAAATTGAAAAAAAAATTTACAAGCAAAAATAAAATAAAATGCAAAGGTAGAAAGTTGCTTAAATTTGCTTGTACACCATGAGTCACAGTTGCAACAAGCTATAGAATCATGTCATTTTCTGTACATATTATATGATACATTTACTTACTTTTAATAAAGTTTGTGTTCTTTTATTTTTATATATATGTATTTTAATGCTTATTTATTTATTTTGAGAGAGAGAGAGAGTAGGGGAGGGGCAGAGAAAGAGGGAGAAAGAATCCCAAGCAGGCTCCACACTGTCAGCATGGAGGCTGAAGGGGGCTCAAACCCACAAACCATGAGATCATGACCTCAGCCAAAACCAAGAGTCAGATGCTTAACCAACTGAACCACCCAGGTGCCCCAAATTGTGTGTGTGTGTGTGTGTGTGTGTGTGTGTGTGTGTGTTTGTGTGGTTTAAAGAGTCCTATAATTTGTATAAGTTGAAATCTAACTGTAAACTTGCAATGTATTATGACAGGCCTTCATTTATAAAACTTTTCTCAAAAAGTGCATTTGTTATCAGTCACATATGAAGTACTTTTCCTTATAGATATAGAGATAATTTTTTAGGCTTATTTATTTTTTGAGAGAGAGAGAGACAGGAAGAGACGAGAGAGAGAATCCCAAGCAGCATCTGTGCTGTCAGTGCGGAGACTGATGTGGGGCTCAATTCCCATGAATCGTGAGATCACAACCTGAGCTGAAATCAAGAATAAGACATTCAACTGACCGAACCACCCAGAGAGATAATTAAGTGAAAGCTCTGCATATGCTAAAAAGTGATACAGGGCTTAGATGAAAGAAGTGTGGCAAGTTTCAGTCACATGATTGACATTATAGAAGGTATATATCTATGTGTATGTGTATCTATTTGTATGTATTTGTCCATTTACATATACATCATATCTATCTACATACATGTGGTATCTGTCTGTATGTCCGTATATATATGTATATATATATAGTATCTGTCTGTCTTTTTGTCCATCTGGATTGGCAGCCTTTTTAAAGCTTAACATTTCTGTCTTACCCTGGCTCTTAATTTTGGTTTGGTTCCTTGCTACTTAGAGATAGTATAAGGTAAATAATTGGTGGAAAAAAAGGCATCTTTGTCGTAGATTTTTTTAAACTACTTATCTAACCATTCTATTTGCTTATTGAAGAACAAACATTTAAGTAAACTGACCACTCAAGTTTTAAACAACTAAACACTTGGGCAACCCATTGGGTCAATTAATTTTCTAGCAGACATTTCAGCATGCCTTTTATTATGATAAATTCAAATATAGTAACCTATAACATGTATGTTCGAAAAGAGTCCAGAAATATTTGTGATAATCACTGAGGTTTTTTTTTTTCCATCATAACGTGCTTCTTTTTTGTCATAAAGCTAGATCTAACCATGTTTTGAGATATCAGCATGGGATAGACAAGACAAAGTTACTTCTTAAAATTAAATGTGGAGTGTTTGTGTTTGGAGTGGGGACCTTATCTACCCTGGGTTTCTTTTATTTTTTTCTCTCCTCACTTCTTTTTCATTCTTAATTTCTTCTTTGTTTATAACATGAAGTGCCAGAAAAGTTTGAACTGTGTTAAAATTATTATTAAAATAGGGAACCATGTCTATTAATCTTTTTCTGTTTTCCTTTTTTTTTTAATGTTTTATTTACTTCTGAAAGAGAGAGAGAGAGCGTGAGCAGGGGAGGGTCAGAGAGAGAGGGAGACACAGAATCTGAAACAGACTCCAGGCTCTGAGCTGGCTGTCAGCACAGAGCCTGACGTGGGGCTCAAACCCACGAACCGTGAGATCATGACCTGAGCTGAAGTCAGACGCTTAACCGACTGAGCCACCCAGGTGCTGCTAATCTTTTTCTGTTTTCAAAGACTCATTGTTGTCCCATGAATTTGTTCTAAAGCAGTATTTATGTAAATACATGCTTTTATTTATAGTAAAAGTGGATTGTTCTTTCTAGGAAAGAAAGTGATTGCTTTTTCAAAGGTTGCAAACAGGGCACGTTGTCAAGTTGTTTGATTCCATGCTGGTTGATACAAGCAGTGCCCCCCAACAGTGTGACTGGGGCCAGGCTGACCATCTACCACAGGCTTTCATACAAGGTTCTGTCCCGCTCACCTCCTTCCATTCTCTTTCTCTAGGACTTCCTCCCTAGCTCTTTCTCATTCTGCATTTTCCTTGCCTCCCCTTTCTCCTATTTCTTCTCTGCCTCCTTATTTGCTTTTCCTTTCGACTCCATATTTCTCAGAACCTTGAAAAGAAAGAAAAGAAAATTTTAAGTAAAAATGCTTTTTTTTCAGTTTAATGAGTAATCTTTTTTTTTTTTCTAGGAGAGAGAGAGAGAGAGAGAGAGAGACAGCGCGAGCAGGGGAGGGTCAGAGAGAGAGGGAGTCACAGACTGAAACAGGCTCCAGGCTCTGAGCTGGCAGTCAGCACAGAGCCCGACGCGGGGCTCGAACCCGCGAACCGCGAGATCATGACCTAAGCGAAAGTCGGACGCTTAACCGACTAAGCCACCCAGGTGCCCCAAATGAGTAATCTTTGAATAATCTTTAGATTTCCAGACCCCCTGGTGTAAGTTTAGCTAGCTTGAAATAAAATCTTTAGAGAAGAATACTTGGCTTATGATTCTTTCTTTGAGAAGACCTGTCTAACTTGCTATTTTCTGGAAACGTGTGTATGTACATCCTATATGATTTGAGCCATGTACTCATGAAGTGATATGTATTACTATACGTATTTTTCTAATACTTATATATTCAACATACATATAGCCATAACATTTTGAAGATGGTGATTATGTTTTATGCGTAAGTACATTCTATATACATTCTTTTTACTAGCTTTGATAACAGGTATGTATATGCATATTTTTCAAATTGCTTACTCTTTATTGTTTATCATAATCATACCTCTAAACCATTGCCAAAAGCTTTCCGTTCATAGTACTGTGGCATCGGTGAGATGATCAATTATGAAGTAGCAAGAACCCTGACACTTAATTATTTTTCACGATGCTAGTCAAAGCTCCAGCATCTTAGCATAATACATATGAGGTAAGTAAGGAATGTAAAGAGAGCATCTGATGAAATCTGATGCGTCTGGAATGCCCGTGTCTACGTGCTGTGGCACTTTTAAAGTATCATCCAGGAGTTAAGTAATATGACAGATATTGTATAAAAATTGTCAGCCATCATTTCTAAAGGACTTACAAGTGGTGACCTATAGCTGTGAAGCAGGTTAGCAGACATTGGGTTATGACCACCCCCTTCCCTTCCTCTCCTTGCCCAGGTGCCTGTGTCGGTGGCCATGATGACTCCCCAGGTGATCACCCCTCAGCAAATGCAGCAGATTCTTCAGCAGCAAGTCCTGTCCCCTCAGCAGCTCCAAGCCCTTCTCCAGCAGCAGCAGGCGGTCATGCTGCAGCAGGTAATGTGGCTTACCTGCTGTGGTGTCCTAGCGTGGCGCAGGCATGCTCCTCCGTTAACAGGGCCGTGGGCATGTTTGCCAGTCACTCTCCACCTGCAGGGACAGCTGGTCAGCAGGCGAGAACATACATGTAGCATTGTAACTGCAGAACTACATCAGAAAATTTAGATCCCTTAGTCTTTTTAAATTCCTCAAAGTCTACAATAAGAGCAGAGAGAGGTGGAACTTCAACATGAAATAAATTAATAGTTTAGTATCCGGATGCTTAGGTACATTTGATTTGTAGACTCGCCAACAAAAGTGCAAAGGGACTTGTAGACAATTCTTGCTTTTAAAACTCCTTAAGACTTCAGTGCTCCTTTTTGTTCACGGGAGTAGGAAATTTAAACTGGTCATTTGGTTGCAATGGGGAAGGTAACATCCTACATTTTCCTTCCCAAAATATTTTTGGTGTTTCAGCATAGGGAATATCTACGTACAAAAACAAAGTTAAGCAGCTAAGCCACTAATCCATGAAAGTTATCTTTTTTTAGTGACAAGACTAGCATTCCTAATACGAACCTTATTGGGCCTCGAGTGTGTATAAAGTGGACTTTATATTGTAGACTTACTTAACATAGAGAAATAATGTGCTTTACTTAAATTCTTATCGATATAATCACTTTGCTGTCTTCTGTGGATGATGGCCACAGGCCATTTGCTTCTGTTTCTAAGTCTGACATTCTTCTGTACATCTGATGGATTAAAATATTTTCCCGATAAGAATTGAGCAACCTGAGTTTATATAGCCATATATTTGGTTCTTATAAATTGTATAGAGTATGCAACCTATTTTAATATCCCATTGGGACTTCCAATAAATCATTTAGGGTATTCATTTGGTTCTGGCCCATTAGAATACAAGTTTTCTATGCCCTCTTGTTTAGGAGTTTTTTGGATTCTGGATTGGAAAATTTCAGAGCTGCCTTGGAAAAAAAAATGTATGTAGATTTGTCTGCTTGCATCCATTGCATATTTTTTGTTGTTCTTGGGAGGTGCACCTTAATGGTTACTCTACCATATGCCAGTCTAGAAGAGTTTAGGAGATTTATAATACATGAAACTTTTGCCTTTATTTATTAAAGTCAAAATGGTTTATTCAGCAACAACTACAAGAGTTTTACAAGAAACAGCAAGAGCAGTTACATCTTCAGCTTTTGCAGCAGCAGCAACAGCAGCAGCAGCAGCAGCAGCAGCAGCAGCAGCAGCAGCAGCAGCAACAGCAGCCGCAGCCGCCGCCACCGCCGCCGCCACAGCATCCTGGCAAGCAGGCGAAAGAGGTAGGAGCCACCTGCCGTCGGGGCACAGCGGTGCCAGGTGGGGACGGGGCGCCGCGAGGCCAGGGCGGCCTGAGATCTTCCTAGCACAAGGCTCTCCTGTCAAAGATGCATTATGGTACATTTTTACCCAGCTTAATAACAGTGACAGTAGAACTCTCCTGCTCTCCTTTTTTGTAGCATGGGACTTGAGAGTTACAATCCAATGCTGCTGTCTGTCGTCTAATGTTCACTAATGAATCACAGTGTACAAAGAGCAAGCTCTGTGGTGGACAAAGTACTGATTATCTTGTATTCACCGAGAATCTAAGTTGGTGAGGGAACCTTATTTTTCTCAGTGGTGCAGCTCAGAGAACATGCATGCAAATGTAGCCCGTGGTTGGGGGGGTTGTGGGGGGCTAAGGGAGAAACCAGTGGAACACAGATTTCAAAGTCACGGGCCCCTGATTAATGAACTGCTACTGTAGGTTTGGAGTGGCGAGTAGAAAGTTACAGTTTGATATGCTCATAAATCAAACTGACAAGCTGGCTTCTCAGGCCTAGCTTGCACTTGTCAGCAAACTGCATCAAATATAAACATAATACAAACAAAACATGTTGAAGTAGTTAAATTGATCAGCAGGTATCAGAGCCGTTGTCTTCAAGCTGCCCATTATGCAAACGTACAGGAAACAGTTTTGACCTCCTGAGGCTTTGTTTCTGTTTGGATTTGTGAATAGAATTTCAGACAGCCATCAACTACAGAATAGAAATTGCTCCCTTATTTCTCTGGAGGCTCTGGGCAATCCACATGACTTGCTCCATTATGCAGTCTGTTTTCCAGTGAGCGCATCAGAAGTTTCTCTTTTCCCCAAACTAAAAAGGAAAGGTCTTCCCCAGCAGCTTGTCTGTCTCTGAAGTGTGACTGCCTCCTCATACCCTTCCAAGTCCAGAGAACTCTGGTTTGTCTTGTAATGCCTCACAAAATTGGAAGTTATACTTTTCCTTATAATAAGGGCACTATTTTTTTGCCCTGAACATAATTCTGCCTTTAATGTATTCCAACAAGCGAGGAGAGGAAGAGAGAGAGCTAACAGGCCTGTCCTACGAAGGCTACATCCAGTTTACTAATAGATCACCAGAGACCATATTCATGGGCCTCTGCAGATCAAACTTACTCAATTGGAAAAAAAGAGAAGAGTGTTGTTGAAGTTGACTGTCACTACAAAGTGTTATTTTTTTAGTATATATAAACTTATTATCATCATCTGCAATAAGCCAATTTTTCAAAAAAGTCTGAGACTTTGTGTAACATACTTTTTCTAAAGCTCGTTCCATACTCTTTCATGCAAGTTCCTTGGTTCTCTGCTGCTGTGTAATATTTGAAAGAAAGGCAACTGAAAACCTAGAACTTGCTCCCATTCTGCTTTCGAACGTTGACCATGGGATGCCCATTCAGAAACTCACCAGGGCAATGAAAGGCATGTGCATTTCTCTGTATGAGAGCTGTGTGTGCAGACCGTGTGTTCCCTGCTGTTTACTGGGCCGGGTTTTCTGCACCAGCAGCAGCAGCAGCAGCAGCAGTTGGCCGCCCAGCAGCTTGTCTTCCAGCAGCAGCTTCTCCAGATGCAACAACTCCAGCAGCAGCAGCATCTGCTCAGCCTTCAGCGTCAGGGACTCATCTCCATCCCACCTGGCCAGGCGGCACTTCCTGTCCAGTCGCTGCCTCAAGGTACACACAAAACATGCACACTTCATTCCTCGTATGGCACTTTCTACCATTTCATGCCCTGTCTGCATTATACCTTGAGAAATTTTGTTTTTATGACCTTCAGATTTATTATTAAAACATGATCGTTAACATGGCTGCGTGGGCCATGTTCTTGAGACTCAGATTTTACTACACACAGAGTTCAGGTGTGTAGTAAAACCGCTTTCAAATGTTTTGTTAGATATTAAATGCGTATTTATTAGTCTTACAGCAGAAAATAATTTATAAGGGCACACAATTTAAGCACTATCAAATGTATTCTGAAGACCTGCAGAGAAGTAGATTAGTGGGAAGGCTAACAACATTCCATTTAACAAAGGTGAGCTGATAGGAGTTTTGGTGGAGAACTGATTAAAAAAAAAAAAGATAGGGTGCACCTGGGGTGGTTCAGTGGGTTGAAGGCCAGGCTTTTGATTTCGGCTCAGGTTCTGATCCCAGGGTTGTGGAATCAAGCTCTGTATTGGACTACATGCTGCGCATGGAGCCTGCTTGGGATTCTCTTTCTTTCCCCACCCTCTCTTCCCCCTCATGCACTCTCTCTCTCTAAAATAAATTTTTTTTTTAATGTTTTATTTATTTCTAGGAGAGAGAGAGAGAGACAGCGTGAGCAGGGGAGGGTCAGAGAGAGAGGGAGACACAGACTCTGAAATAGGCTCCAGGCTTCGAGCTGGCAGTCAGCACAGAGCCCGACGCAGGGCTCGAACCCACGAACCGTGAGATCATGACCTGAGCGAAAGTCGGACGCTTAACCGACTAAGCCACCCGGGCGCCCCTCTCTCTCTCTAAAATAAAAATAAATAAAAAGATAGAAGTTCCTAAAAGTTTCTAATCTTCATGCTTAAACTCTTACATGTAAAAAAGAGCCTTTATTTCTACAGAGAGCTTCTGTATTTCTACAGAACATATTCCATTCCAAGCTATGCTATGTAGAATCCCATCTAAATCATGGAACCATTTTGATCTTATTTTCTCTAAAATGATATTGCCGGTGCATATATTGTAAATTATAGCTTCAAAAAGCTATCAATTGTTTTCTTATTCCTGTTTTTCTTTTTCAATTTTTAAATTTTATCTATCTATTATCTATCTATCTATCTATCTATCTATCTATCTATCTATCTATCTATTTTTGAGAAACAGAGGGAGACAAAGCACAAGCAGGGGAGGGGCAGAGAGAGGGAGACACAGAATCTAAAGCAGGCTCCAGGCTCTGAGCTGTCAGCACAGAACCTAATATGGGCTCAAACCCACAAATGTGGGATCATGACCTGAGCCAAAGTTGGATGCTCAACCAAATGAGCCACTCAGGCACCCCTTATTTTTCTGATAAGAAAACTTTGGATGTACTTTGATACAATAATATAGTACCATAACACAATACTATAAATCATACAATTGTGTATATTCATCATTTCACTCAGCTTTTGGGAAATGGAAACCATTCTTAGTACAAAAAATGATGGTAAGCAAAATGACTTCTTGTGTGCTAAAATTATTGATACAGGCAAAAGTCATATATCATTAAACTTCATAAAGGCATATTCTAATCTGCATTTGGATTTTGTTAGAACAGACTTTAAACCAAATGGACTAATTATATTTGTTACAGAGGGGCTCACATTGTAGTATTTTTTATTCATCTTTCTGACTCAGTAGGATATTCTGAATAAAATCAAGAACAATTAAATAGAAAAAAATTAGGCAAATAAAAGTCTTTAAAATGCACATAATCTTGTTTCTAGCACATGAAATTTAAAATATTGTAGGGGCACCAGGGTGGATCAGCCTGTTGAACATCCGACTCTTGATTTCAGCTCGGGTCATGATCAGAGTTTGTGATTTCAAGCCCCGCATCAGGCTCTGCACTGGAGCCTACTTGGGATTCTCTCTGCCACCCTCTCTATGACCTTCCCCCACTCTCATTCTCTCTCTCACTTTCTCTCTCTCTCTCTCAAAATAAATAAACTTTAAAAATGAAATAATTATAGTAAATGTTTTTCACTTATTTTATCAAATTACTGTCACTTTGGTAGGTTTATCCCAGAATCCCCTCTTTCCCTTGATTTCAGATCTTCTGATTCATTTGATTGAATCACTCCTAGGAAATCAGGAAAGATAAAGGTTAAGCAGTGGAAGAAAAACAAGGCAATGAACTCACTTTTCTGGACCATTCCAAAGAGAATTGTAATAAACCATGGTGTCATTATACCAATGAATTCTATTCACAAACTATCATCCTTTGAAAAAATATAGTTTGAGGACAAATGAAGAAATAAGGTTAAAAAAAAGAAAGGTGTGTATAAATTAATTCAATATAAACATGAATTTCTTTAGTAGAAACTACACTAAAACCGAAGCAATAAATGTATACGATCAATTTTTTTTCAGTAAAATTAACATAAAATCTATGTTTAGGATCTAATCATATAAGATTCCTCTCAATAGAGAGAAGCGAGATCTACCAGGATTTTGAGTAACACCATTGAAACAATCATTTCAAGAAAGTTTAAAATAGATGTTCACAGAGGAATACCTGGGTGGCTCAGTCAGTTAAGTGTCTTACTTCAGTTCAGGTCATGATCTCGTGGTCCATGAGTTCAAGCCCTGCATTGGGCACTGTGCTGACAGCTCAGAGCCTGGAGCCTGCTTCAGATTCTGTGTCTCCCTCTCTCTCTGCTCCTCACCTGCTGGCACCCAGTCTCAGACATTCACAGAAGTAAAATATAATTTATGTGCAATATATTTGTTAAAATACATTCTTCCAAAACATACACATACCTTGCTGAAAAAGGAAATTTATTATAATATACTGATTTTCAAATGAAAATACACTCTAATTTCTGAGCTTTTTTTAAATAGAATTATCATTTTTCCCTTTTCTTCTATGTGTACTCTCCATTAAATGTATGAGAGATTAAACACACGAGATAGAGAACGTTGAAGGAAATGAAATAAATCTGAAACCACATCTAGGTTTGAGCAGAATATTTATAATTTAAACAAAATACATACAAGTCATCATTGTGTTTTTTAGCACTTAGAGGAGGAAGTGTGAAAAGTGCCACTATCTAGAGACTCAGTAGCCAAACACAGGCAGAATGTGTCAGATAAACCAGCTACACAGCAGAGGGACAGAACTTCACGGGGTGGTGCTGGAATCCCAAAATTGAATGAAAGAAAGTAAAAAAAGTAATTATTACATAATGGAAGCCTTGAATTACTTCTGCCTTAGCCTCTGGTTATTTCAGATATTTTTATATCTGAAACATATAAACAGTTTCCCAGTTCACTTTGCACCACATTTTGGGTTGGCTGGTGGATTAGCCCTGAATGATAACCACAGGAACACCAAGTAGGATTTATACATAATGATAATCTTTAAAAATATGCCATATTTGAAATATGTGTCCCCATGATTTAACACAGATTCCTCAGGCTGCTTTTTAAAGTTCCAACTTCTTTCAACCAAATATAAAATAAGTGTATGAGAATGAGAAAGAAGTAACAAAATTATAATAGTCTTGGTAAGAGTGGGAGATGTATATTTTCTCTATAATGCAAAATGATATAATGTATCACTTTAAAGTACATTACTTTAAATATTAAGGTTTTAGAGTCATCATGAATATTACTATAATGTTGGATTTTGATGTAAATTAGGCAATTAAATTATCATCTCTAAAATCATACATAAGGATGCCTGGGTGGCTCAGTTGGTTAAGTATCCAACTTTGGCTCAGATCACAATCTCACGGTTCATGTGTTTGAAGCCTACATCAGGCTCTGCACTGACAGCTGGGAGCCTGAACCCTGCTTCAGATACTGTCTCCCTCTCTTTCTGCTCCTCCCCTGTTCTTTTTCTTGAAAATATATAAATAAACATTTAAAACTAAATAAATAAAAATATAGAGAGTGATTGTAGGTATATAGAATCAAATAAAAAAAGGATAGATTTGTAAATCAATATCAAATAAAATACTGATTATGAAGCTATTTACTCCATAGATAGTACAGTTTATATGTCAGCTAGTAATTATTTAGGGACACACTTTCATGACCCAGTACCATTGTCTCCAGATTAGAAAATAGGAAATTATTGTGCGTGCACACAGTTCAAACTTTGATATGTTTTTGACAAGAGATAGCAATCAGTGTGTTGCAACACACAGTATATTCACAGGCTTACTATGACTGTAGAGACTAAAATATATGTGGCAAAAACTTCATTTCATTCCAACTTTCTACATGTTTTTGAATTTATAAAAGCTATTTAAAAATATAACACGTTTGTTACCAATCTCAAAGACCAAACAGAGAATGCTAGATCTAGCCAGCACTATTTTGAAGTAACACCTTCTAGAACTAGATGAGCTTAGAATGAGAGAACTGTTGGATAATAAATAAAGTGAAATCTTTCTAAGTAAAGTATAATAATGTCCTTTATATTTATTTAGGAATGTGCTGTCTTTAAGATGAGTATTCAGTCAAAATCAGTTATTTGGCTTTGACTCATTTTCTGATTATGGAAACCTAAATAGTCAAATGCCAGGATGTAGGGGTGGCTCAGTTGGTTGAGTATCCTGCTTTTCGTTTTGGCTCAGGTCATGATCCCAGGTTATGGGATCGAGCCCCATGTTGGGCTCATGCTTAACATGGAGCCTGCTTAAGATTCTCTCTCTCTCTCTCTCTCTCTCTCTCTCTCTCTCTCTCCCTCTCTCCCCCTTTCCTCTGCTTGCATTCTATATAAAATAAATGAATAAATAGTCAGATGCATACTTCAACATCACTTCTGGCATCCTTATTTTTTTTTGCCTAACCTGTAGTCATGTGCTTGCATAGATCACCTTTGTATCTAATAAGGGTAACAGCACCAGCAATATGGACAACACATGTGGTGCAGAATTATTGTTACCATCTTAGTATTTCCTTTTAAGTACCAGTCAGTCTCCAATTTGTAACTT